GAAAAGAAATAAGAGAAGAAAGGCGAAAAATAATGGGATAATCAGAAAGATGAACAGTTGCTTGAATGAAGATTTCGTGAAGAGGGACTGTGAATTTATCTGTATATATACTCGATACTTTCTAACCGTTGAAGATGGAGGGGCGCGTGAGTAAACGTCACGTCGCTTGAAGGAAATGCCCCTTTATTATGACATAAAGTTCAAGTATAATCTCATACGTACGCGTGTCCCAAAACCGTCAACGTTCATATCCGAAAATTATGGTACGTGCCCGTTGAGAAGAGTAGTGGAGAAGACACGTTCGCGACCTCTCGAAAACTGCTCAATGATTTTCTTATAGTATGAAATAACTTTGGTAAAGGAGCGAAAAGATATAATTCTTATCTAAGGGAAGTACCTCAGTTTAAACTTACGTGGGAGATCCTTAGATCAACTCGGAAATAAAAGAACAATTGGATAGGAGATGTCATTAAAAAGTATGCATAATTCGCATACTTCTTAATGCCAGGGGCCTCTATGTTGATATCAAGATAAGGTATCTTGAAATAAAGGATAGATTAAAGAAATCATGAAGACTAAACTGCGGACCGGATATCTATCGATATAACACGGAATATATGACACCTCGGAAATATCATCTCGGTTCTCATACGACGTTCCGAGTAAAACAGCAAATCCTAAAGGTCGTCAGAATAAACCATTGAAACCTCGAAAAGGCCACCTCGGTTGAAGGACAGCTCGTCAGGAAGTCGTAGAAGATTGAAATTCTACCAAAATACCAACGTCACAATATGGTACCGACTTCAATCCGACAGAAGTGACGCTTGTCACACAGATAGAGGAACGCCCATGCTCATCATTGCCTAAAAAGTTTGCCTACGTCATTGCCGCCCCTAAACTGTCAAATCTTCATTAAAACGAAGCCGATTTGTCTAGGGAGGTGTGCCAAGCATAACTATAAATAGCAACATCAAACACGATACTAGGATTCGGCAAAAAGTGATAAATACATACACATTTATCTCGGTTTTCATTGTTTACCGACTTAGTGAACATTGAAAAACCGACTTCCCAATTCTGTAACCGACTTCAAGATTTTCAATAAAGATCTTGTTTTCTGCAATTTTTATAGTAATTTTTACATTAATTACGTTGATTAAATCCGTTTATCAACACTAATATAATTTATACTAATTATACTTTTTTTCATTATAATTAATTATATTTTATACTATCATAATTTATAATAATTATATTAATATAATATATATTATATAATATATTAACTTTATTAATATATATTTATATAAAATATATATTAATATTATTAAATTATACATATTCATATATATGAATGTATAATAATATATATGAAAATATTAATATATATAATTTAATATATATTAATTTAAATTATTAATATATTTTAATTATTAATCAAACTTAATATATTCTAAAAAAACTTTCCCCTTTCTCTGCTCTGCGACTCAACCCTAATCGCCGCGCCTCGTCTCTGTGATTCACCGTCGATTTGCCTTCCTCAGTGACGGCGGGGCCCGGCCAGCGGTCGCCCCTGGCCGCTCGTCCTGCCTTGGATGTCGTGCGCCCTGATTTGCTGCGGTTCTGCTGCGTTCGCTACCCTCCAATCGACGGCGAATTTGAGTCTCGAGATGTTGTCCCCTTTGTTGGAGTCCAGTCGGCGATGGGTTGTTTCCTCCCGGCCACCGGCGGACCCCCGATTAGTGATGGTAAGTGCCTCTCGCTCTCTCTTCTTTGCCGGCTGTGGAGTTCCTGTTGGTCATCTCCGTTATCTCCGGCGGAGCTTCCAGTGGGTGGTTGTTGGCCGCCGGAGGACTGCGGTGGAGTTAGGCAGTGTACGGGTCTGAGGATGGGGGAGGCCNCTAGTGCGGCCGGTTTGACCGGTTTAGGGCCGGTTTGACCGGCCGACCGCCGCATGACCGGTCTTGTTGGATAGCATTTTTTCGCCGGAATTATTTAGAGGTGTTTTTGGAATTTTTCGGTGCTCGGTTCGGCCGATAAATAGGTTAGAAGGTGGGACATTATTTTTCTAAAAAAATAAGATTAAAGGGCAAAACTGTCATTTTATGGTGCGGTATTAGTAAAATGGGTGCGGTGTTTAGTAATTGAGTATTTTTTATCTTCAAATATTACTCAACATACACATCTTACTAATATTTGAGAACATGCTATAGTGATGACAAAAATACTTAGTTCAAGTTTCTCAAAGTTGCTCATTTTTTGGTACAATTTAACTTGTACAGACACCCAATCTGTTTAGAAAATCGAGTTTACTTAATAAAACTTAAAAGCAGAAAATATTTTATTATACCATTAATAATTCTTTTGTATACATGTTGCAACATGATCAATTAACAAAATAAACGAAGCTTCTGAGCTTTAAAAGAAATAAATAATGACACAAATCACTTACAAAATTTAAACTTTAAAAATTTGTCCTCTGTCTAATTAGGCAAGAAAAAAGTTGGGAGCATTATAATGCTGTGCCATTGTTTTTGTTTTGTGGATGATGATGATTACTTATACTAATTTGAGATTCCATTTTTGGTTAGATTGTTTGGCCTTTTTTCTGACAGGCATGCTAAGATAACTAATAAAATAAATTCTGAATCAATTAGTCTTAATCAAATAAGGTTTAAAAAAGCCAAATGGTCCTCAAATGATTTGTTTGGTGGGAATTTGGTTGATAGTGTTTTGAAAACAATTACTTTGGTCTTAATCAAGTTGGTTCCTTTTTGCTGTTGTCCCACCACCAAGATAATGCATCATAAACTTTTGAATTATATATACAGTAATATTATATCTTTAGAACTCACTATTTTTTAAAAACTACAAAAACTCCAAAAGGATGCAAATATAAAAGTATTTTGGATTTTCTAAATCAGAGATTTTATTCATTTAAAATTAATTAAGTGATTCATGATTCAATTCTTGCACTTCTGATCCTCTCAATTTAAGTTATAAATACACAGTCCCCTAATAAATCTTGAAAAATGATCAACCAAACAAGTAATTTACTCCTTTAAATATGTGAAACACAAAGAAATAATTTTATTTACTCCATTAGTCTTTACTTAGAAGATTGTTTTTGCTCGGCTTAAGATAGGCCGCTTGCTATGCTGTGTCTTTTAATACCCTTTATTAAAAAGGGGCAAAAGAAGCAACCTTTAGATAAATCATAAACAAAGCAATGATAAGAAATCAACAATTTAGGAATTTAGATTAAATGTTCCCTAAATTTTAAAGGCTACTACTAATATTCTTCCTACCAAACGAGCATCATCGCTTGGGTCCATAATAAGGGAAAAACAAATAAGGCATTTCAAAGATCAAGAAAAAGCTTTTGCCCTTCATTATTGATTTATTTCCATTGTTTCAAGAAATTAATGCTTAACTCATAATTTTTCCCTTCCTCTGATTGGGGGTGTTGGGTAGGCTCTATATAATATATCCAATTCAGTACGGTCCAACTTTAACTCTATTCATTTTTGAGTTGACCATAGTTAAGTTAACCATTGCCTTGTCCTAGCTAGTATATTAATTAAGGACTAATAATTTCTGACCATCGTAAAGAGCCTTCATATTTATCATTTATGTATGTCTCTTTCAATTTGGATCCTTGTCTATTTTATATGCCATTTATGTGTTCATTTCTTCATGTGTAGTTTATATCTTTACTACTCTTATATATAAGAGGAGCATTCAATATCCACAACAACTGTGGATACTCTTTTAATACTTACAAAATTATAAATAATCGACCTATAGCGTATGATAATCGCCCCAGAGTTAAACATGTTTGTCAGCCGTCGTCAAGTCAAGTTAAGTCGACATGATCGAACAGAAATAGATGAAAAAAAAAAAGGAAGAAATGCTTCTTTGGGGTATTGCAATTGTGAAGCATATGAATGCAACTATGCAACATTTCCACCTTGAGTTAACCATCATTATAGAATGCTCATTTAATTTGTTTAAGTTGGATAATTATTATGTTGCCAAGTAAATAATTTTATAAGCAAGGTATATTGTTCTACCTAACCCATATAAACTTAAGACTTGTCTAATCTAGAAATAACAACCAAATGCAAAGCATTATATGTGCAGGCAAAAAGTACAATAAAACTCAACAACTCATGGGACTATATGTATTTATATCACTAGGAAACAATCAGTGGTCCTAACAATTACCAACTTTGAACTCTTATCCTTTTTACAGTAGTCTTGTATATATGTAGAAAAAATGTACCTAAGGATGAAAAAAATAAGTATGAAGCCAACTCGAGCTTATGATACTTGATCTCAAATTCGAGACCTTATTGAGCTGAGCTGATAAACAAGCTCAAGCTTTCTCTCAAACTCGGGCCCATATTGAGTTGAGGTGAGCTCAAGCTTTCTCTTTAATTAGCGATATATGATTAACAAGATGAACAAAGCTGAACTAAGGAGCTTTCCTTTTATTTAATTTAGGTGAAAATATTGAGACCCATAAAAAATAAGATAGTGAATTAGTGATGTTAAAGCCTGCTTCTAATGCTGTTGGGAAATAATTTATTGGAATTTGGGAACACTCCTTCATATTTGCATGAGAGTGACTTGTTTGTGTCGGTGCGAATGAACATTATTTAATTTTGTCAATTTTATAACACTTAAAGTCTTTAATATTGCATATCATAGAATCATTTATAAATCTCGACTTCCCCAATTAAATACATCATTAAATTATAGTACGAAATAATGACCCCAAGTTCAACTATCATGAATTAAATAATAGAGACGAAAATATATATATGCTCAAACAAATTAATGAATGATCACACAGTATTGCTTCTAAGATAGAACCAAGATTTCACCTTACTGCAATTATCGATTTTTTCGTCATTCGATCAATATATAATTATATATAGGCATCCATTTATGGTTGAATCAACACACATTAATATGAATATATGATGTAATATACATGTGTTGATCTAAGGTAAAAAATTCAATAACTTTACAGTTGTCACTGATAACATGTCTCTAGTTGAATTAATTACCAGCAGATAGACCATTAAATCAATAGATAATTTACGTTTGAGAATCACAACTATACACATTAAATAGGGTCCAGTAGATTCGTAGATTTATTATTTTCACCTACAGCCTGAGCCAGACACAATTAATTGTAGCTAGGTCAGAAAATAAGTGATTAGAGTACAATTAATCACATGCTAAACAATAGTTAGCACTTTAATTTATTATTTAATTAAATAGTTACTGGTTGAAGTCGATAATCGAGACAGTTACAATAAAGTAACCCCGACATAGTCTACTAATTAAAAAACTAAAATAAAAAAACAAAAATCAAAACTGAAAAATTAACGGCCGTTAACAAGAGGACTAACGGCTGTTTCCTTGCACGGGCTTGGCGGCAAGCTGCTCCGCCCTGGCGCAACAAGTCGTTGAGCGAATCCGCTGATCCTCTCACCGTTAGTCTCCGTTAACAACCGCTTCCCGCCAAACGGCAGCGATTCTATTCCTCTTTCCGCCAGTACCGCCGCCGCCTTCTCCACAGAGCTGTTGGCCTGAAGATTGACGCCGTTTAGTCACGAGTCATCACAACAATGAACAAACTCTGTTTTCTTCCTTTTCTTTTTTCTTTTTTTTTTGTTCAAATGGCTGTATTAGAATTTACCTGGATTCTGACGTAATCGTTAGGATTCCAGCAGAAGGCGTTTCCGAGCATCTGGTCGATGGTTTCCGAAACTCCGTCGAGGACAATGCCGACGATGGAAGCCGGCGAGCACTCTCTGTCACGACGCTTTTCCACCGCCGACGGTCCATTACCGATCGACAGAACCAGCAGATCCTCCACGCCGGTGACCGCCGGAAAATCTCGCTTGTTATGGAGGACGTGAGTAACGGCGGCGGCGGTGGGGTTATTCATGACGAGTCCGCCGTCCACCGCCAGGCATGAAGTTTTTCCGTCGCGCGAGGTCAGCTCGAACGGCTTGAACGCCGAAGGAGTAGCCGACGTGGCGCGGATGACCTTCCACAGCTCGAAGTCGAAGCTCGGCGACTCGGAGGCGTCCGCGCGGGAGAAGACGAACGGCGCCGAGCTCTTCAGATCGAAGCACGGCACCAGTAAAGGCTTACACGCGTCCTTCAAGCTCAAATCCCTGCCGTTACCCCCTCGGAAAGCCCTCCTCAGCACGGCATCCATGCTCCTGCCGGAAAACCTCGTTCCCCGGCGGAAAACGCCGCCGCGCGCAGCTCGGAACATCTCCTCCCGATTCTCCGACAAGAAGGCCACGGCGTCCCTCGCCGAGAAGATCGGGCGTCCGTCGCCGTCCCCGACGACGAGCATCGCGGCGAGGAGAGCGCCGATTCCTGTGCCGGCGACGATGTCGAAGAAATCGACAATTCGAGCGTTTGGATCTCCGGTTTTCTCCCGGATCTGGTTCTCGAGGTGGACAAGGGCGGCGCCGGCGACGACGGCGGAGGTTCCGCCGCCGTCAATGCTCAGAACAGCCGTCTTCTTCCCCTGGCAGTGGTACAGCCACTTCTGCTCCAGCCTGGAGAAAATCTCGAGAGTCGCCTTACTCAGCTCCATGTGAGTAACAGTACAACAGCAGAAACAGAGAGGAAAAAGTAGATAAAATGAGATTTTCACTGCAGATTTGTGCTGTAGACAGAGCAGATAGTACAGTGCAGCCAGCTAGCTAGCTATCTAGCTATAGGTACAGAGCAAAGGATTAGTGAGAGAAAATCCGTGAGAAAAGCGAAAGGTCACGCTTTATTGCTGAGCTGAGTGAACATTAATGGCGGTGAGAGGAAATGCAAATTCTCACGAACACGCACTGAGTGTGTGACCGCGAAGAATAGATTTTGTGTTTTAGGGAGGGAGTGAGTGAGTGAGTGAGGGGAAAGGTAGGTTACGTGCGATCTTTATATTAGCGGATTCTCTTTGCTTTTATAATTACACTAAATTAAAATGAAGTTATATTTAAATATATCAAAGCATGGTGAATTGACATGATTATTTATTTAATTGAGAATTTGGGGTCAATTAAGTTATTTCTACGAAATTGAGTCGTTTGTGAATTCGATTCAATTTGACTCATTAAACAAGCCAAGTCCGAGTTTATTTAGTTAAACGAACCGAGCTGTTAATGCTCGAAAATATAATTTGTTTAGTTAACGAACCAAACTGTTAATGCTCGAAAATATATATATTTTTTATAATTTGACTTATTAAGAATCGAGTTTTGCTTGGCTCAAGTTCTGCTCGAATAAAGATTCAAAGTTTTGCTTGGCTTAAATTTTGTTCCGCTCGTTTATATCTCTACTAATAATCATTCTCTCATTATTTAATTTGTAAGATTTTCATCTCAACTCCAAAATAGTGGGACTTCTAGCAAGTTGTACTAGCAACAAATCCAATGAGTGCTCGTGATTGTGCAGGAATATAAATAAATTAGTTGATCCATAGAAAAAATGTCAATCCATTCTCATCTCCTATGACTTTTGTGGGTAATCACTCTTTGGCAAAACCACCCACCATTTGTGTCACATTCTCAACAAATGTAAGCACTAGGAACAACTGTGATTAAGTTTTTGACTGGACAATGACACACAGCTTTTTTTTTCTTTTCAATATTCAACAGGCAAAACAAGAAGAACCAGAAAAACAAACTCATCATAGCGAATATTTCGAACACGTTTAGCATCTGAACAAAATTGTCCAACAGATTCCAATGCTCAACAATAGCATTCAATTTAAACTCTAGTTTCCACAAAATTGGTACATGAAATCTATACATGGTATAATTACTCGATGCAACCGCAAACTATTACCTTCACATTTTAAACTAAAAAAAAAAATTAAATCCAATGACCAATCATTCCTTCAGGGAGTCGAGGATTTTGCCTTGTTGGCATATTTGCCGTACCTTTTAGCCACCTCAGCATCAGTCAACAAATCCCACACCTGTAAAGTAACATAACAACAGATTTTAGATAAAACTCCGATTATAATTCCAGATAGCAAGCAGTACTTATCCAGAATAAAATGCAAACCCACCTGTAGTTTTCCTTTGGAACCTCCGATAGCTAACGTAAAAGGGCAATCATCGAAGAAAGAAACAGAAAATACAGCTCCCTATAACAAATATTAATTTAGAAAGTCAAAAAAAGATTTCACAAGCAAACTAGCAAAACTATTACAGATAAATAGTTTCGCTAAACAGATATCAGCGTATCGAGAACATAATTTTTTAAAATGTAAAAAAAAAAAAAAGAAAAAGAAGAAACAAGAAAACATTAGTATAGCAGTCCTTCAACGACGAGAAGTTACGAGAACAGATTAATAAAAAGTAAAACATACAGCTTTCGGGTTTTTGGAAGCAATACATGACGGTTGGTTTAATAAATCCCATAGCTTCACCTACAGTGGAGGATAAAAATGGCAACAATCATCATTTATATGTGTTAAGAAAACAACAAAACCAGATTGAGGATTAGGCTATGTTTGGTAACCAAATAAACTAGCTTATAGCTTATTAGGTTAGCTTATAAACTTCATGTATTCAAAAGTTTCGTTTGGTAGGACGAGCTTTTTTTATAAAGCTTGAGATTATCCCATAAGCATCTTTGTGTACTTTTCAAATAAACTCGTTGAAATTTTTATTTCAGCTAACTTATCAGCTAATTTTTATCGTACACTTTTATCATATAAGCTAGCTTTTCAGCTATAAGTCATAAGCTATAAGTTCGGAAATCACTTAAAAGCTATAAGCTAGCTTATCAGCTATCAGCTAGTTTTACCAAACATAGCCTAATAATATAAACTAAAAGAAATCACGAGTTGAGACCCATACCATCTTATCCTCAGAACCAGTAGCCAGTAGCTGTGAGCATTATATTCTCAAGGTGAGTCCAAAAGTACAGTCCATAAGTAAAAGGGAAAATAGAAGACAATGCTGAGATATGATACATACATTTGGGATGGAAGTATTATAGGCAATCGTGCAGACTGCTTTGTCATGTGCATGGATTGTAAAGCTTGCTTCAGGCTGAGAGGTCGCTTTAGAGCTAGCATTCCGAATATCAAAACCAGTAACAGTGCCATTTTCAAGACTGACCTGAAAAAAGAAATAAAAATAAAAATTAGAACACTTTCAGCTGTTCAAAAAATTTACCTGTCATGAAAAAGAAAATATGGGCATATGAAAGTTATAGCACAAACCACAAATGAATGCTCTGTGTGTGGGTCCCATGCTAAGCTCTCCACATCGGCTGCAACTGACCATGTAACTCCTTGATGTTCAGGTATCCTGACATCTTTCTGCAAAGAACAATTTAGATTTTTTGTTTTAATGATCAAAACTTAAAATGAAGCTCGTAAATTCAAGATTTAGTACCATATTGACAGTGTGATCGAACGATCCACTAAGAAGAACACTGGGAGCAAAATGATTCCATGCGACAGCTTGGACCTGAAGCTCAATAGATAACGACTTATCAACATAGACCCCACCGAATAAGAATAAGATAGAATGGATGCAATATTATGCAAGTTGCAATCAAATAATGTAATTCCATTTGTGGTAATGTGGAGTGAATAGATATAGATTGGCCAAAGTAAAATAATGGAACTGAGAGTAAGAGTCAGCCTTGCCTTGTCCATGTGGCTGGCAAAGGTTCGAGTACATGTTTCAGTTGCCACATCCCATATCTTAACCAACTTGTCCGCACTGGCGCTAGCGAGTCCATTACTGTACGTTCACAAAACAGAAGAAAAAACACAAAAGACTAAATTTCAAATCCTCCACAAAAAATCGTGAATAAATTGTCCAACGATCATGCGAAAACCTGAATGCTTTGTTCCAAGCAAGTCCAAGAACTGCATCTGTGTGACTACCATCCTTGTATTTAATAGATTTCTACTCAGAAACAGAAAGAAGCATCCAATAAGCAAATTGTAGAAAGTAAAGTTCTGTGATGGAATTCAACTTCACTTAGACTACTGGAAATACATAAAGATAGGGTAATCAGCAAGTGTTTCGAATTTAATAATTACGGCTATGAAGCAAGACCATGAGTTAGAGATCCAATCATATACGATGCAATGATAGCACACTAATAAGGCAAAAGAAATCTCTAAACAAAATAAGATGCAATGTTAACCGATGTTAAAACTCACCTTTTTTCCCTTTCTCTTCTTTTCAATAATGCCACCCAGCGTTGCAGATGGCTGGACTTCATCAATCTAAAAGACACAGCATTTGAAGATTAATAAGATCGTCAAAATTCCAGCAATGGATCAATCATCTAACTATCAAAAGGACTACAAACTACATACAATATCAAGGTCCCATATCTCAATGGTTGGTTCCATGGAGCCAATAGCAATGAAGTTCCCTATTGAGAAACAAAATTCACTTTATGAAGTGAGTAACACCAATAATGGCAAAGAACAAACGCATATCAAATTCTGAACCCCATGAGATATCAAATTCTGGCAGTATGACCGAAACTATATGCTACAGACTTCATATGAGATTATCTACACCCATATGAAAAGGGTACACATGCCAAAGGTCACTATGAGTTAATAACACTTAGGCTATGTTTGGTAACCAAATAAGCTAGCTTGGTAGGACGAGCTTTTTTAAAAAGCTGGAGTTTATCTCCCATAACCTTCTTTGGATAACTTTTCAAATAATAAGCTCGTTGAAATTTTTATTTCAGCTAGCTTATCAACTAATTCAACCAAAATTCACTTAAAAGCAATAATCTAGCTTCTGAGTTATCAACTTATCCAGTTAGGTTTACCAAACATAGCCTTACTAGCCTACTACAAAGAAAGATGATCGACTAACTCATATAAAAGGTCAACGCATGCAGTCACTGTCTTTACCTTTGTCTCCACCTTTAAGAGGACAACCAAGCCACGCTGTGCAGAGTGGAAATGCTGGGATGACAATATCATGGTGCACATACATGTTTGAATCACCATTTGTCGGGTCTTCCAATATCCATACCTACTTTAGAAATCGAATTTAGGGATCATAATGATGTCTTCATATTGGAAAGAACTTGAATATAATTGTATTTTTCATACTTCTACACAAAAAAATTACATGCCTCAAGATGGCTGACATCATCTTCATTCCGAGCGCAGACTATGACTGCATCCTCTGGCTTTATGGCAATATCTTCTTCCTCTTCAGAGTCTTCTTCCTAATTGAATAAACGATACAAGATAATTAGATAGTAAATCTTAATAGACAGATGGCCAAAATTTGCTAAGACATCTTAAGGTATGTGATAATTATAGAACTCAAACTATCATATGGGGAAACTCACATCTTGGCCTTTCAAATAAGGATCCATATCATTACTTGGGTAATATAAGTTGCCAAGACCCGAGCCAAACAACTCAACGCCTGATCTCCACGAAGAAAAACTCCATTCAGTAATTCACAATCTTCCAATGCAAAAAAAAAATAAAAAAAAAAATAAAAAAAAAATAAAAATAAATCTGCAAATGCTGGATAGTTTAAGCAATACCCAAGGGAGGCCCAAATAGTCATTTTCATTCACATGTTTAGATTTCTTTCTATGCAACAATGTCAATAGTGTTACTAGACAATTATACCATCATCCTCCTCGTCGTAATTATCCATGTCTAGCTCTTTCAACGCATCTGCCAAGCTATCGGATTCCATCTTCGAACTTTTGGGAGTTTTCCCAAGTGCACTGGCAGCAGACAATGCACGGGAAAGTTCGTCATCACCTTGACTAACTGCATCATCATCAACATTCATATCTTCATTGTTTTCCTCATTTTCACTCTCTCCACTGCAAATATAACACATGAATTTACCCTTGTAAGACTTGAAAAAAAAATCGACACAGCCCAGTCTCAATTTTCTAATTTTGAAGGGCAGCGAAAATCTAACCGTGTTTCAAGGATACCACTCTTCAGGATCTCTTCTATTTTCTCATTTGAAGGGGGATCAGCTGCTGAGGGAACCGATTTTGAGACCCCTTTAGGGACCCAGGAAATCGATGATATCATTCTTGATAGCAAAACCCTATAAGTTCAATTCAGAGCGGAAAGAGAAATGGGAGAGAAAGATAATCATGTAAAAAATCAGTAAAACCTGAAAAATTGTTGCGAGAATTAGGGTTTGCCTTAAACCCTAGTGATTAGAATGCGTCAGCTGGGGAGCCCGACAAAGCCCGCATTTTGGCGGGTCGAGCCGATGAAATGGCGACCCGGCCCTAACTCGTCTCGAGCTGCGAGTTGAGGCCCGCCCGATATATAATACATTTTAAATAAAAAAACATTGAAAATTCTCAAGGCCAAGCTAAAACAAATGTCATTTTCTGCATTCGTGAAATTGAAACACTCAACCAGTTTGTTCTTGGTTGTTCGGTGGATTGGGTTGTCAAACTTCGAAGCCTTGGGCTAAAAATACCAGTTTTTTCAAACATTTTTTTCAGTTTTTTCCAATGTACAAGCTTGTATGAACTTCATATACAGCTTTTCCCAACCTAATTCCACACTTATGCATCCCAAAAGATTTGAGAACACACAGAAATTTTATATGTTAATCCATTATTCTCCATACAATGTCGTCTGATAGCTACTTAATGTATTTTAAAGGTATTTTGATGTGTAGTTTGTTTTGGTTGTTTGCACAGATGAATGTATATGCAAGTATTTTTAATGGTTTATTCATGGTTTTGTTGTATTGTGTTTCATAATAAACTGAGTTATGCCCGCAGTCCTTTTGGAATTGTTGAAAAGTAACTCGAGTTCTCAAGAAAGAAACATATGCAGCACCAGCATCACGAATATCATGGTATCGATGGAGCATAGCATTGAGTCCAAAGAAAGCAATACAGCTTTTGCACTAAGATCAGCAACCAAATAGAGGTTCACATAGAAACCAGCCAAAGAGTTCATGAGTAGATTTGTAGGTATTTTTATCCCCATCAACATGAATAGCTGACATTTTACAATAGTATGGCTGCTCAAAAACATATTTTCTTCTGATCAAAGAGTATCAGACCTAATCATATTCAAGTTCATCGGGAGTAACAGGGCGTTTGAGAGGAATAACAGATTTTTTCTCCACGTCCCGTGATAAAGCCTTCCTCATATCTGAAAAGGTAAAAAGGTTGTGTGGATCAAAACAAGTTATATTAAAGACCCAAACAGAACAAAAACTTTCTAAGGGTTGTACACAAGAAACTCACCCAACCCATCCTCCTCTCCAGAGTAATACCGAAGCACGCGCCTGTAGACTACATAACCAAGCTGTGGAAAGGAAAATTTTAAGAAAAAAAGAAAAAAAAATAGATTAAAAGAAGCCCTTATCTATATATATATATATATAATTACCAGCTAAATAGCATTTAAGAAAACCTATGTAATAAAACCTCTAAGACTTTCCCTCCATTTTCGGTTACAAAATTTGTAATTAATGTTTTTTACTTCTCACATTAATACATCCTATTGAGTGTAATCATGTATTTTTCTATTATATTATATAATAATTAATGCTAATACCAACTAATAATAATTCACAATAAATATAAATTGCATAATTATAAACAATTATTTCAAGTTATTTATTTTAACATCAATATTATCTTTTTCTTTTATATCTCATGAAAAAATTTCTTTACAAACAATTAGTAAATTGTTTTAATAGCATAGTCAAACAACTTTAGTATCTTATAAATAATAATAATAATAATAACTAATGGTAATAAACAATTGTTCATAATAATAAACAATCATTAATTTATTTTTCCTAATGATTAGATTTTAAAAATGTAATATGTTCATTATCTAAAATTTTAATATTAAATTCTCAAATCTGACTTATAATATTTTATGTACATCTGTGCATGTGCACATGATATTTACTAGTGTTTATGGATTATAAGGCTATCAACATACTTACATTATGAAATTCAGGGTCCATAAATAATTGTTATATAATGCAAAACATCCAATACAATAATCTTAGTACCTTCTCATACATCTTGATGGCAGGTGTATTTGAAGCTCTCACAAAGAGATCCACAAAATAAGCCTTGTCACTTCAATAGGCAAGCACAACTTAAATGTTTAAGCATTTTGGAGATGTGAGAAGCAAAGAGATACTGAAAAGGGTAACCGACTCGAGTTATCTAGCACATGTACACTATAACTTAAGTAAAAACAAGCTCGTATAAAACCAGATTTTAACTCTGTCACAACATACAGATTGATAACCAATTATCCAGCAACAACTCGTTGGTTCAATCACAAGCATATTAATGTATTAATGGACTATCATTCAACATGAAAATGAAAATTTATGAGAATTATTTTACCCTTATAACAAATGAAGAACAAATCAAAAAAGCTTGGCAACTTTATTCATGCTTGGATACATTTTGAACCCCAGGTCCAAAAAACCACCCTACGTTTGTTGTGAAATAAAGAACCAAGAAAAACATGGAACAAAAAATGTTCAAATGGCAATAAGAGAACCAGGAAGGGAGGAACAGAAAAGTTGTAACTAATGCAAAGGTTTGAAGAAAAGAAGAGAGAGAAAATAAAAATTAAATGAAATTCTAGTAAGACAAGAAGAGAATGTCAATGAATTCAACTTAAGAGAACTATGTCAAGAATGAGGATGAGATCACATTTTAATCAGAATTGCACGCCCAAAGATTGTATAAAAATAAAATGAAATTCTAATAAGATAAGAAGAGAACGTCAATGAATTCAACTTGAGAGAACTCTGTAAGAATGAGGATGAGATCACATTTTTCAGAATGGCACTCCAAAAGATTGTACAAGTATTTAGTATTTACTGCAAGCAGCAATTAGGAAAACCCTTACATTTTGTCACTGATATCCTCAAGCAGGTTCATCAGTTTCTTGGCCAATTGCTGCCGTCGATATTCCGGAGCTACAGTCACTGCAGTGACATGCCCATGCCAGGACTCCCCTTGTCCCTCAACCTTTCCCATAACTGTAACAAATAACCAAAACTTATGCTTAGTGCTTACACAGAAAATGAAGGACTAATCAGAGAAATGTATCAAGAAAATCAATAAGCTCCAAGTTAGAATCTGAAGACATTTCCACTATTTAGGTAGCTTCTCAATTGTTTTAATTGCAAAAGCTTATGAGGCTAGTAGAATACACTAGCTGTCTCATTCTGAATAAACACGACAAGAATCAGAACCATGATAAGAAAGAACCATAGCCACATATTGTCATAGGTCTTATATAAGACAGGATAAACACTTTTTTAGTGTCAGTGTCAGTCAAAATCCATGAAATTGAAAGACAACAAATAATCTCTTCCACCTGTAGTCATCATGAATCAGAACAAATGGAAGCAACTGTAACCCTGTACTGATACCCGTTAAAATCTAAACGAAGCTGTTCCCCCGGCAGAAATAAGACACAACAAACCCGCTTACTCACGCAAAATCACATCCCCTTTTCCTCTCTCTCTCTCTCTTCAAATGCAGCTCACCCCACCATTCATGGTCAGATTCATGTTTTAGTACAATTAACAAGATAAACTACCCAATAGTATCAAATCAAAATATCTACACCATACCAATACTACTTTCATCATCAACTTAAACTAGAATGAAACAAGACTGCAATTAACCACCATTAAATTAGGTCAACTCACTGTAGCCCATTATCCTGTTTCCTGGAGCTTCAGCAACGTGGAAATAATCCGGCCACCTCGCCAAATAGGTCATATAGAACGACATGTTGAACTGCAATTGATGGTAGTTCACAATAGTTAGACGTTAATAGCTACAGAATTACAGCTCATAACTTCGAGTTCTTAACAAAAACCCTATAACTCCATTAAAAATGAGAGAGAGAGAACTAACGGTTTCAGTGAGATGGTCGAGATTAACTGACGCGAAGCGCAGGAGATCGTTGCAGCAGAACCTTCGAATCGTCGTCATCCCTACGTCAATCCACAGTGAGTGAAATTTTGGTTGGCGTGAATTTATCTGTGAATTTTTTCACAGGATTTCCGGTTGATTTCCGGTTTTGTTGAGGTAGAACGGGAGAAATGTGGAAAACGAAACCAGATGCAAGTGCAACTTGAATTCTATTCGGTTTACGACCCGGACCCGTCTTCGAAGTCTATTCGGATCTACATTGAGGCAAGTGAGACCTTCCGTTATTATTAAGTCGAAAACGCCTTTTCTATTTGGGCAACTTTCTAAAAAATTCTCAAGTCCCTTTTTAATTTCCTCCTCAGTCTCTAGGCCTTTTTTTCTTCCTCCTAACTTCCTATTCCTATAATCATGTTCCACTTAGATCCCTAGTGTTAAATTAAATAAAAAAAAAAAAAACAAGTTATGACATCATGTTCCACTTAAATCCCAAGTTATTTTATTATACATTTTCCTTTTTTTATACGGCAAATTTAAGATAAATCCCTAATGCCTTAGGAGGGTGTATTCAATTGGGATTTAGAGTGACATTTTAAGACTTTTTAAGATTTGAGATTTGTTAAGATTTCCAGATTTTGGAGAAATTCCGTGAAATCTTAAGTCTGGAGGTGGGATTTCAACTAGGATTTCGTATAAGGTTTTTTGTTTAGAAATCCCACCAAATCTTAAAAAGTCATAACAAATCCTAGTGTCAAATAAATTAAATACCTCAGAATTTTGTAAGACTTTTTAAAATCCCAATTGAATACCCCAAGATTTTTAAAAGTCTTAACAAATCTAAATTGAATACACCAGGATTTCAAAAGTCTTTAAAAGTCCTTAGAAATCCTAATTGAATACACCCCTCTTAATCAATTTCCTTGTCAGTCCCCACCTCTTTTTTACTTCCTCTGCACTCCCTATAACTAATATCTCTTTCCAAATCACTCCCCATATATATACTACTCTTATTATTATTCATTTATTTTTACTAAAAAATCATAAAAAATTAGAAAAAAATTAAGCCTTTCTCTCTCAATTTTCATCGCCGTCTCTCTCTGTGAATTTCCATTGCCTTCGTCTCTCTCTCTTTTTTTCACCGTCATTCGTCTTTCTACCTCTCTTTTTCCGTCGATGTTCGTCTCTTAAACAAGGTAAGATTTTTATAAATTCAATTTTGGGGTTTTTTTTTTTCAAAATTCTGATTTCTTTTTTCTTGAATTCGAATTTTTTCAAAATTTGGAATTTGATTGATGATAATGAACTTCGTATACATTTCCCAAATTACGAAATTTATTGATAATTTAGGGCTCTTTGCTTATCTAGGTTCATCATTTTTTTTGGTATATTTTTGAATTAGGGTTCTTTAATAATTTGAGTTAGAGGATTTAGGATTACTCTATGCTTTTCCCTTTCTATTTGTTGCATTATGGTTATTTTGGGTTTTGAGAAATCTTCAAAGCAATTTCCTATTTATTTGCTCGATTAATTGAATTTACGACCTCTGAAAGCACAAAATTATTTTTTCCTCATCTGCATTTGCTTGTTCTGTGAAAAAACCCATGTAGCTTTTTTCTGCTGGCCACACGTCTCTACTTTTTATGGTAACGCACAAAGTGATGACGTTTTCATTCATTCTGTGCATAATTGTTTTTCGTCCGTCTCAACTTTTGTCTCTTACGAAACCCAAATGAGATTCAAACAGATTGATCAAGGTTGTTGAGGAAAACAAAAGAACAAAAAAATTGTTTACCAATTTTGATTTCCTGTTTGCTCCAAAATTGAGGCCCTTTTTCTGTGCGGACGAATTGGGGCTGTGCGCAGGTCTTTCACTTTTGATCTTGTGTGTGTTGTGATTCAATATGTGTGGGTTTTGTTCTTTTTTTTTTTAAGAAAATATATTGGGCAGGCAGGCCAGCCCGCCAAGCCCGCAGCCCGTGGCGGGGGTGGGCCGGGCCTGCCTTTAGTAGCCCGCCCCGCCCCGGACGTCGGCCTGTTTTTACATGTCTAATGATTATGAATCTTTTTCCTAGTCTGTTACATTTTTAGTAAATATTGATGTGGTAAACATTGATGTGGTAGATTGTGTACTGTATCATAAAAAAATATGTAGACACAAGGTAGAAGACCTGACATATATGGATTTGACACAAAAATCTTGATAGGCATGGGTTTTGTGGACTTTTACTTCATGAGTGTACTTGCTTTAGTTAGGACCATTCGGCTTTCTGTAAATTATGCTCTGAATTAACTACCTACTGCAAGGTTGGGACTTGGGTTTTCTGAAGAAACCGAACATTTCGGTAACACCACAATGTAGAATCGAGTTGCAGTCGGTAACCGAAACTTATATGGGGTTTTAGTGTTGTAGTAGTATACTATAATATACATTTGAATGCATATCAATTTTTCAAATGTTTTTTTTTTCTTTTTTAATGGTAGTGATTTATATTCATGAAAGGGAAATATAAGTTCTGCACACAAAATTCATTTAATAGTGATTGAAAATTCAGATCAAAAGGTGAGGGAGCATAATGTGATGGCTATCGAGCACACATGGCAGCTCGCATCTTGAGAAATCCTCCATGTTGACAGTGTTTGGCTTGTGTTTTGAACAATATGTGGTTTTTTGGTGTATGTTGTGGATGATGGTTTATGTTGACGGATTTGGCTTTTGTCTTTGAACAATAGGTGTCGAATGTTTGGATGATGGTTTATGGATGATGGGATTGTTGATTTTGTAGACAATGTGGATGTTTTGGTTTTATGGATGATGGGGTTTTTTATTTTGTGGACAATGTGGATGTTTTGGTTTTATGGATGATGGTCTTTTTTATTTTGTGGACAATGTGGATGTTTGGTCGGTTGTGATTTTGTGTAAACTAGTATCATTTTTTCTTAAATTCTATACCAACTTTATGCACTATTAATACTCTTTTTCTCGTATTTAGTACCTACTTTTTGTAGAAAGGAAAAAAAAATGATATGATTTTTTAGATTTTTTTTAAACTGAAACAAGTTTTTCTTCACATAAGTACCAACATTATGAGATATTAGTACTCATTTTTCAAGTTTTCAGTACATGCTTAATTGGTACCAGTTTTACCTATAATAATACCACTTCTTCTATGCAGTACCAGTTCTTGATGAATTAGTACATACTTTGTAGAAAGAACAAAAAATGGATTACTTCAACTTTGGTCAACATTTGCAATATTAGTACCAGACCTAGAGTAAGTTAATACCGCCACTATGGTGTTCTAGTACCAGATATCGGGTCTTCAGTACCAACTCCGACGAACGTAAAAAAAAACCGATTTTTTGTAAAATAGTACATGTTTTGACGCAAATAGTACCACGTTTTCTTCTTCACAACACCAATTATTGATAAATTAGTACCAACTTTTGGTCAGTGAAAATGGATTATTCAATTGTGGTCAATATTTGCAATAATTGGTACCAGACCTGGAGTAAGATAGTACCAGCTTTCGGTGTTTTAGTACCAGATATCGGGTCTTTAGTACCAACTCCGAAGAACATAATAAAACACAAAATTTCGGTCTCAAATGATGTTTATATGACCAATAATCACTCTCACATTATTTTCTATGAGATTTATAACGTGTTTAATTAAGCTTAATCGCAAATTGGTCACAAACTCAACACACTGATGAGAAATCACTACAAATACACTTCATTTCATTGAATGACACACTTTCATCTCATAGAATCATCATACATGACTACTCCAAATTCTATCTATATGTTTTAACTTCCACTATTTTTCATCCAAACCACGCGTGAATGATCCACGTGTCATGGTAGACATGAAGGATTAGAGAAATTACGATTCTTAAAATAATACCTGTTTTAGCAAATATAGTACCGCATCTTCTTCTACGTGGTACCTGTTTTTGATCGATTAGTACCAGCTTTTGGTCAAAGAAAATGGATTATGCAATTGTGGTAAAAATTTACAATAATTGGTATCAGACCTAGGGTAAGATAGTACCATCTTTCGGCGTTTTAGTACCAGACATTGGGACGTTAGTACCACTTGTAATGAACACATAAAAACACCGAATTTCGGTCTCAAATGATGTTTAGATGACCAATAATCACTCTCACATTATTTTCTATGAGATTTATAACGTGTTTAATTAAGTTTAATCGCAAATTAGTCACAAACTCAACACACTAATGAGAAATCACTACAAATACACTGCATTTTATTGAATGACACACTTCATCTCATAGAATCATCATAATGACTACTCAAAATTATACCTATATGTTTTAACTTCCACTATTTTTCATCCAAATAACGTGTGAACGATCCACGTGTCATGGTAGACATGTAGGATTAGAGAAATCACGATTCTTAAAATAGTACTTTTTTTAGCAAATATAGTACCGCATGTTCTTCTACGTGGTACCAGTTATTGATCAATTAGTACCAACTTTTAGTCAACGAAAATAGATTATTCAATTCTGGTCAACAATTACTATAATTGGTACCAAACCTAGAGTAAGATAGTACCATATTTCGGTGTTGTATTACCAGATATTTGGTCTTTAGTACCACTTGTAATTAACACATAAAAACACCGAATTTCGGTCTCAAATGAAGTTTATACGACCAATAATCACTCTCACATTATTTTCTATGAGATTTAAAATGTTTTAAATTGAGTTTAATCACAAATTGGTCACTAACTCAACATACTAATGAGAAATCACTACAAATACACTCATTTCATTGAATGACACACTTCATCTTATAGAATCATCATACATGACTACTCCAAATTCTATCTATATGTTTTAACTTCCACTATTTTTCATCTAAATCACGCGTGAACGATCCACATGTCATGGTAGACACGAAGGATTAGAGAAATCACGATTCTCAAAATAGTACCTGTATTAGCCAATATAGTACCGTATCTTCTTCTACGTGGTACCTGTTTTTGATCGATTAGTACCAACTTTTGGTCAACGAAAATAGATTATTCAATTGTGGTCAACATTTACAATAATTGGTACCAGACCTAGAGTGAGGTAGTACTATCGTTCGGTGTTTTAGTACCAAATATTGGGTCTTTAGTACCACTTGTAATGAACATATAAAGACACTGAATTTCGGTCTCAAATGATGTTTATATGAAATAGAATTATAATTTATATTAACCATGACCTGAAATTGCACATTTTTATTATTTTAAAACAATTTTGTTGTTCCCTTTAAAAGTGTAATTATATTTGG